GACGGCGGGCATTAAACATCTTCAAACACACCCAGAGAAGACCCCTGCCGAGAAGAGATACATAGTCCTCCCAACCAACTCCATTGCCAACATGTTTCCAACATCTTTGTGAAAACATCATTCCAAGTATCTACCTCTACAACCACGACCATCAAGGACATCACCAGTAGTAGACAGGACAAGCCTCCATCCTCTGCAGGGTATACATAATCCCTTGTAATGACTGCAACAAATTATATGTGGGCGAAACATCAAGAGACCTCCAAACACGTATTTCAGAACACCCAATATGCAAGCAGGACTGACGATACAAGGAATTGCCTGTGTACAACATCGCAATTCACACAACCATTTAATTAACTACAGAAACTCAAGACTTATAGCCACAGAAGACAACACTCAATACAGAAGAATCCTGGAATCATCGCTCATCTCTACAACCAACAATTTCAACCAGAACAATGGCTTCTATAACATAGCTGAACCCACTCGCCAAGAAACTTCTTCATCGCTATCCCACATAAGAACATAGAACACTGCAGAAGGTCTACTCACAACTTGTCCAATACCCCTGCCAAGCTACCAAAGACTCTATAACCCCACCCGGTAGATCATCAGATGCAGCATTCTCCACCTGACCTCAACATTCTGAACATGCCTATAAATACTCTCGTACCTTCCAACCCCAGGTAGATCCGTGTGTGACTTGAAAAAGCCCACTGTGTGGGTGAAACGTTGTCAATAAAGGATCACATTATACTGCATTTGTGTTTATATTTCCATTGTATCGGTATTTTATACCAATTATTTCCAGCGGGTGAATGTGTATGAACTTGGGCGTATGATGTGTATTCATGGTTTGTGACGAGTATACTCAATATATGTGTTTGATTTTGCAGTGGGACATTGTTCTATGTATGTTATTCATATGCATGTTTTAGATGCTTGTAGAGGTGTCATTGTGTTGGATCCTTGTTTATTAATATATTCTGTGTTTGATGAACATATTGTTTTTACCTTATTCTCAATACATTACGTTAATTGTATTTAACGTATAAGGTGTCCTACTTTATAATTTACAAAGTGACAATATATGCATATTATGGTGTGTTTTGTTAATCATATAACAATGCAATTGGAATTAGTCGTTTATTGGTTATCATAGGTGTAGGGGTTTTCATGTATGGGTGAGGAGGGATATTTGTGTTATCTCAAGTTCATGTTTGTGTGGTTGTTAATGATTTAGTCTGTGTAAGACCCGTTCTTGTCTTTATCTATCTCTTGTATTGTATTGTTCTAAATAAAAAAATAAAATAAAAAAAAAAAAAGCCTAGATACCTGTATCTGCTTACGTATTCTAGAAGAGACCCATCATGCAATTGGATCTGACGAACTGTGCCTCTCTGTCGAGGAGGACGCCTATTGAGTATCTTTGTTTTATCAGTAGAGATTATCAACCCCAGGTCCTGACACGAGGCTAGTACATGATTAAGAATGTTTTGGGTGTTGGAGAATCCGGTGGTGTGAATCATTATATCATCAGCAAAACTAATCACATAATGATGGGGCTGACTAGGCATAGCATTAAGTAATGCATTAATTAGAATATTGAACAGTGTGGGACTGAGCACACCTCCCTGTGGGGTTCCTAATTCAAAGTCTTTAGTTACACAGGAGGAGTAGATGTAAAATAGAAAGAGACAGGCGCTCCCTTTACAGGCGACGGAAAAGAATAACAGAGCGGCTAAAAGAGGTCAATATATCTGAAATGCGCAGGGAGACACTGGTCAGAGAAATAGCAAGCATCGAACTTAAGCTAAAAGAATCCTTTAGGAGTCAGGAATCGCGGGAAGAACTAAAAGCTATAAATGAAATCGAAAGAAACCCAAAGTATTTCTTCTCCTATGCCAAATCAAAATCGAGAACAACGCCCAGTATTGGGCCCCTACTTAAACAAGATGGGTCCTACACAGATGACAGCAAGGAAATGAGTGAGCTACTCAAGTCCCAATATGACTCAGTTTTTAGCAAGCCGCTAACCAGACTGAGAGTCGAAGATCAAAATGAATTTTTTATGAGAGAGCCACAAAATTTGATTAACACAAGCCTATCCGATGTTATCCTGACGCCAAATGACTTCGAACAGGCGATAAATGACATGCCCATGCACTCTGCCCCAGGGCCAGACTCATGGAACTCTGTGTTCATCAAGAACTGCAAGAAGCCCCTATCACGAGCCTTTTCCATCCTATGGAGAGGGAGCATGGACACGGGGGTCGTCCCTCAGTTACTAAAAACAACAGACATAGCCCCACTCCACAAAGGGGGCAGTAAAGCAACAGCAAAGAACTACAGACCAATAGCACTAACATCCCATATCATAAAAATCTTTGAAAGGGTCCTAAGAAGCAAGATCACCACGCATCTAGAAACCCATCAGTTACACAACCCAGGGCAACATGGGTTTAGAACAGGTCGCTCCTGTCTGTCTCAACTACTGGATCACTACGACAAGGTCCTAAATGCACTAGAAGACAAAAAGAATGCAGATGTAATATATACAGACTTTGCAAAAGCCTTCGACAAGTGTGACCATGGCGTAATAGCGCACAAAATGCGCGCTAAAGGAATAACAGGAAAAGTCGGTCGATGGATCTATAATTTCCTCACTAACAGAACACAGAGAGTAGTCGTCAACAGAGTAAAGTCCGAGGCAGCTACGGTGAAAAGCTCTGTTCCACAAGGCACAGTACTAGCTCCCATCTTGTTCCTCATCCTCATATCCGACATAGACAAGGATGTCAGCCACAGCACCGTGTCTTCCTTTGCAGATGACACCCGAATCTGCATGACAGTGTCTTCCATTGCAGACACTGCAAGGCTCCAGGCGGACATCAACCAAATCTTTCAGTGGGCTGCAGAAAACAATATGAAGTTCAACGATGAGAAATTTCAATTACTCAGATATGGTAAACATGAGGAAATTAAATCTTCATCAGAGTACAAAACAAATTCTGGCCACAAAATAGAGCGAAACACCAACGTCAAAGACCTGGGAGTGATTATGTCGGAGGATCTCACCTTCAAGGACCATAACATTGTATCAATCGCATCTGCTAGAAAAATGACAGGATGGATAATGAGAACCTTCAAAACTAGGGAGGCCAAGCCCATGATGACACTCTTCAGGTCACTTGTTCTATCTAGGCTGGAATATTGCTGCACTCTAACAGCACCTTTCAAGGCAGGTGAAATTGCCGACCTAGAAAATGTACAGAGAACTTTCACGGCGCGCATAACGGAGATAAAACACCTCAATTACTGGGAGCGCTTGAGGTTTCTAAACCTGTATTCCCTGGAACGCAGGAGGGAGAGATACATGATTATATACACCTGGAAAATCCTAGAGGGACTAGTACCGAACTTGCACACGAAAATCACTCACTACGAAAGCAAAAGACTTGGCAGACGATGCACCATCCCCCCAATGAAAAGCAGGGGTGTCACTAGCACGTTAAGAGACCATACAATAAGTGTCAGGGGCCCGAGACTGTTCAACTGCCTCCCAGCACACATAAGGGGGATTACCAACAGACCCCTGGCAGTCTTCAAGCTGGCACTGGACAAGCACCTAAAGTCAGTTCCTGATCAGCCGGGCTGTGGCTCGTACGTTGGTTTGCGTGCAGCCAGCAGCAACAGCCTGGTTGATCAGGCGCTGATCCACCAGGAGGCCTGGTCACAGACCGGGCCGCGGGGGCATTGACCCCCGAAACTCTCTCCAGGTAAACTCTCTCCAGGTAAACACTTCTATGTCCCTGGAACAACACAGACGATTTTCTGTTTGACAGGTAGCCTTTAATCCAGCGGAGAAGCCATCCTCCAACATCCATTCTGGCAAGTTCACTAATTATTACATGTCGGTTGGCTACATCAAAAGCGGATTTAAGGTCAAGGAAGGTAGTGTAGGAGCTGTCAGTGTGCAGGGTGAGAAAGGTGGCTATGCAATGATGCACACTCCTTCCATGCATAAAACCATGTAACCGGGGAGACAAATTTTTTTTGATTCTGTACATGAGACGATTAAGAATCATTCTCTCAAATGTTTTACACAAGCAGCTAGTAAGAGATATTGGGCGAAATGCATTTTGTTGATTGGGCTTAGGAATTGGAATGATGAGGCTGTTGGTCCATGATTTAGGGAGCTCCCCAGTTACATAGCTCATGTTATATAATTCAAGTAATGGATTACCTGGTACTCGACACAGCAATCTGAGTATGTTGTAAGTAATACCATCCTCACCAGGCGACGTGGAGTTGCCCTTAGTGCTGCATCAAGTTTATTTTTTATTTATTTATTTATTTATTTATTTCCAATTTGTGCACACATACAGAGGTACAAAAAAAATACAGATAAGAGCAGTATGCCAAAGCCACTTATACTATGCATAGCATTACGGGCTGGCTTAAAATTAACTTAAGATTAACTAAGCAATGATTATTATTATTATTATAATCAAAAAGAAGCGCTAAGCCACAAGGACTATACAGCGCTGCTACTAAGCAATGATGAAATCAGTGATAAAACATTAATGTAAACAGATAACTATAAAGCACAAGTGAGTATTACAAAGACAGGTCATATGGTTGCATTCAGTTAGGTAGTGATTCTGTTAGGTAGTGTATTTAAAAAATAATAAAGTTAGATTGGGTTTTAGATTTAACATTTATGTGATATAATTGTGAGAAACATTTAAGATATACAATTTATAATGTTCAGTTATTCAGTATTTATTTGGTTTTGGGTGAGTAAGTAATCTTTGAGAAGAGACTTGAATTTATAAACAGGTTGTGTTTCTTTTATATTTACAGGTAATGAATTCCAGATTTTAGGGCCTTTTATGTGCATTGAGTTTTTGCATAGTGTGAGATGGACACGAGGAACATCAAAGAGTGATCTGTGCCTTGTGTTATGGTCATGTGTTCTGTTGAGGTTGGCAAGGAGATGTTTGAGGGGAGGGTTAATATCAGAGTTAAGTGTTCTATGTATGTAATAGGTGCAGTAATAAGTATGGATGTTTTGTATGGTGAGTAGGTTTAGTGTATTGAATATTGGTGGAGTGTGCTGCCTGTAGTGAGAATTTGTTATCATTCTAACTGCAGCCTTTTGTTGGGTAATTAGTGGTCTGAGATGGTTAATTGTTGTTGAGCCCCATGTTCATAATTAGTGAAAGGAATGTTGCAATCATCTGCCTTGCTGAGCATAAAGCAAACAAGTCTCTCCCTTGCATCATATTTGTCATTTAATTTTGCCTGTGTGGTACTGGGCCTGGTGGCTAGAGCTCCTGCTTCACACACGGAGGGCCCGGGTTCGATTCCCGGCGGGTGGAAACATTTCGACACATTTCCTTACACCTGTTGTCCTGTTTGCCTAGCAGCAAATAGGTACCTGGGTGTTAGTCGACTGGTGTGGGTCGCATCCTGGGGGACAAGATTGAGGACCCCAATGGAAATAAGTTAGACAGTCCTCGATGACGCATTTGACTTTCTTGGGTTATCCTGGGTGGCTAACCCTCCGGGGTTAAAAATCCGAACGAAATCTTAAGTATCTTAATTCTTGTAGTCATTGATCTAAGGATCATCGTGAAGGTGTGGCCGGTCAGCGGCCCTTTTCTGGTAGTGAAAATCTCTCGACTTGCTTTTCTTTCCATGATATTATTGACGCATTTATCTTCAGCCTTCAACAACGACCATCAGTCAGGAAGCTGCTTTCATGTTCCTCTTTCATACGCCTGAAATGTGTTAAAATGGTTGAGATAGTGAGAGAGAGTTGGTGTGTGGTGAGCCACAGTTACTAAGCTGTGAACAACACTCTGGTAAATACATCGTTATTCTCAGTTATTCTATGTGAAGCTAGAGAAGACTCTACCTTGCAACACTTGATATATAAGGTAAACAGCAGTGGAAGTGTGGTAGTTATTACTGTAAAACGTAAGTAATATCGGTCACAAGTTGGGAATAATGTGGAAATAAACAAAGGACCACAATGGCAATAAGTCACTTTGACTATTTTTGTGTTATCCTGGAAGGTTGTCTAGACATATGTATGATAATGTAACTGTGTATACCTGAGTAAACTTACTGGTGTTGCTCTTCATCCAGGGATACTGAGCTGCCATCTCCGTACATTAACCATAATTATAATGTAACCATGTAACTGCCATAAATGTTTTATTTAGGCCTAATGCATAACTATTTTTACGATTGTTTTTAAATTTGCATAATTTATTAAGTTCCAATAGTGTGATATATGTATATGGTGGTCCTTATTCAAATTCAAAGTTTATTCTCTATAAGGATTACAATGCTGAGTTTACAGGATTTGGTTATTGTGTGGTTTACTTGTAGTAAAATAATGATTACAGAGTGTACCACTAGAACACCTAGCATGGCTAGGTGTTATGTGCCTATTATTTACAGTGAACATAATAGGTGTCCTGTGGCTCTGTTGATAGGTGTCCTGTGGCTCTGTTGATAGGTGTCATGTGGCTCTGTTGATAGGTGTCCTGTGGCTCTGTTGATAGGTGTCGTGTGGCTCTGTTGATAGGTGTCCTGTGGCTCTGTTGATAGGTGTCATGTGGCTCTGTTGATAGGTGTCATGTAGCTCTGTTGATAGGTGTCATGTGGCTCTGTTGATAGGTGTCATGTGGCTCTGTTGATAGGTGTCATGTGGCTCTGTTGATAGGTGTCATGTGGCTCTGTTGATAGGTGTCATGTGGCTCTGTTGATAAGTGTCATGTGGCTCTGTTGATAGGTGTCATGTGGCTCTGTTGATAGGTGTCCTGTGGCTCTGTTGATAGGTGTCTTGTGGCTCTGTTGATAGGTGGCCTATTAATAGGTGTCCTGTGAATGCTGTTAGGTCTCCTGTGGCTCTATTGATGGGTGTCGTGTGGCTCTGTTGATAGGTGTTTTGTGGCTCTGTTGATAGGTGTCCTGTGGCTCAGTTGATAGGTGACCTCTGGCCAGTTGATAGGTGACCTCTGGCCTGTTGATAGATGTCCTGTGGCTCAGTTGATAGGTGGCCTCTTAATAGGTGTCCTGTGACTGCTGTTAGGTGTCCTGTGGCTATGTTGATAGGTGTCCTGTGGCTCTGTTGATAGGTGTCCTGTGGCCTGTTGATAGGTGTCCTGTGGCTCTGTTGATAGGTGTCCTGTGGCTCTGTTGATAGGTGTCCTCTGGCCTGTTGATAGATGTATGGTGGCTCAGTTGATAGGTGGCCTCTGACCTGTTGATAGATGTCCTGTGGCTCAGTTGATAGGTGGCCTCTTAATAGGTGTCCTGTGGTTCTGTTGATAGGTGTCCTGTGACTGCTGTTAGGTGTGCTGTGGCTCTGTTGATAGGTATCCTGTGGCTTTCTTGATAGGTGTCCTGTGGCCTGTTGATAGGTGTCCTGTGGCTCTGTTGCTAGGTGTCTTGTGGCTCTGTTGCTAGGTGTCTTGTGGCTCTTTTGCTAGGTGTCCTGTGGCTCTGTTGATAGGTGGCCTCTGGCCTGTTAATAGGTGTCCTCTGGCCTGTTGATAGATGTCCTGTGGCTCAGTTGATAGGTGGCCTCTGGCCTGTTGATAGATGTCCTGTGGCTCAGTTGATAGGTGGCCTCTTAATAGGTGTCCTGTGGTTCTGTTGATAGATGTCCTGTGAATGCTGTTAGGTATCCTGTGGCTCTGTTGATAGGTGTCCTTTGGCTCTCATGATAGGTGTCCTGTGGCTCTGTTGACTGCTATCCAGTGGCTCTCTTGATAGGTGTCCTGTGGCTCAGTTGACAGCACGCTCAACTCACATACTGTGTCCATCATTTGATACCCACACTTGTGGAAACATTGTATATCCTAACTTACACCTGCTGCTCCTGTTCACCTATCAGTAAAATAAGTACATATGTACTTGGGTGTTAGCCAACTGGTGTGGGTCACATACTGGGGACAAAATTGACTGAATTTTCCCAAAATGCTCTGTATAACAAAGGGCTTTTCTATATACAGCCTCTCCTCACTTAGCGACGTATTCGTTTACCCATGCCTCAGACTTACGATGGGCTCATTGACCAGTATTCATACCTAAATAATATATATTAGAGCTGATTTCCTCTAGTACAATACACTGCTGTATAAACATTTAAAAATATACCAGAAATGTTATAAATGGTGCAAAGGTGACATTAAAACAGTATCAAAGATGATTGACACAAACTCGCTACTGGTTTTTGAACAGAGTTGTGGATGTGTGGAACAATCTTCTGAGCAGGCTGATCGAGGCTAGGACCTTGGGTAGCTTTAAAAAGAGATTGGACAAATATGTGAGTGGGAGGGGCTGGGTTTAATGGCTGTCATTGGGTATGGGGGTAAATTCTTGGGTAGCTTTGGGTAGTGGTTGATAAGGACCTGCCTTGTATAGGCCAGTAGGCCCTCTGCAGTGTTCCTACATTCTTGCGTTCTTGTTTTCTTATTATAGTATGCTCCTCACTTAGCAACGAATTTGTGTAACGACATGGTCATGGGAGAGGAACTCCGTCATTAAGTGAGGAGAGGCTGGTAGTATGTCATTGATGTCACCTAGGCCTATATATATTGTACATGTAAAAATAAAATTTATTATTATTATTATAACAATTAAGAGCTCAATTTTCTCAAGGTAATAACTCCGAAAACACAGAAATTGGTTCAGTTCTTTCACAATTATGGAAGAGCGAATTTGAGGGTCACTGATCCCGTGTCCTCAGCACTGTGTTCCTGCACACTGATTATTATAACATTTAGTGTTTTCACTTTTTTCCCTCATTTTCAGGTTAGTTTCTGTTCATTATTTTGGATGGAGGATTGACTTTATGGCCACTGGCTGTTTGGTTTTTGCCTAATTGCACATCACATTTATAGTACCAAATTGTCACTCCTAGTGCTGCTTATACACTTATAGTTATATACATGTCTGTCTTAACTTTTCTACGGCTCTAACATATGTACGCATACTTGAGGGTCGTTGGTAATTTTATGAAGACTGTTGTAATGTATAGAACTTCCTGAAGCACAGTATCACAAACATTGGTGTTTCACATTCCTCACACATATATCATGTATCTTTTCACTTAGCTGGCACAATAAGGGAATACTGTATTAATGGCTGTGGCCCCAGGCTATTCAACATATTACTAGAAGAGATCAGAAACACTGGGACAAATGTAGAAGTCTTCAAGAGGAAACTGGACAAGTATCTGCACCAGGTGCCAGATCAACCAGGCTGTGATGGCTATGTGGGTCAGTGGGCCACCAGCAGCAACAACTTGGTTGACCAGGCAAGCACCAGACAAGGCTGGGCTTTGAAATTAGAAAAGCTCTCAGAACTCGTGAAAGGTGTATCAAAGGTACAGATATAAGATCACAGACGTAATATCTCTTGTGAGACTATTTCTCCTTGTCAGTATCAGGAAATACTGTCAGAGAGTGACTACTATGCCTTGAATAAGATAGTATTCGGTTGTTAGTATGCCTGTGCATGTAATATTGTCTTGGTGTTGTGACCTGGTATTTCTGTATTATTTGTTTGATGATAGTCACAAAAACAAATAGAAGTTGGCATGTATCAGGTTGTTCCCATTCTTGAATACCTACACACTGTAGACCTTCAACACTACAGCGTCCACAAGATGGAAAAGTTGTTTTAAGTAATACAGCCCCTCTTCACTTAACGACAGGGTTCCATTCCTAAAACTAGGTTGGTAAGGGAATTTGTTGTTAAGCGAGGAGCATAATATACCGGTAGTGGGTTTGTATCAATCATCTTTAGATATTATTCTAATGTCACCTTTGCACCATTTATAACAGTTCTAGTATATTTTTAAATACACCTACCATCCGACTTACAATCTGCTCGACATACGTCCACTCGATTTACGACCGTGCATCTGGCAGCTGGGCTGGCCCAGCTGATGCACACCGCTGTACAATATTTGACAATACTCATGGCGGCAATGTGTCATGCAGGTAGCATCAGTTTGAGTAACCCTGCCCTATCAGCAGCATCATACTGTATTAACCCCTTCAGGGTCCAAGGCCAAAATCTGAAGTGGTGCCCCAGTGTCCAAGAATTTTCAAAAAAAAATTTGTTATTTTTTCTTATGAAATGGTAGAGAATCTTTTTGTGAAGGTAATAAAACAAAAAGTACGAAATTTGATGGAAAATTGACGAAATTATGCTCTTGCAAATTTTGATGTGTCAGCGATATTTACGATTCAGCGATTTTGCCGACTTTAACTCCCATTTTAGGCCAATTACATTATTCCAGTTGACCAAATTCTTATCTATTTCACTAGTATTACTTCTATTCTATCGATTGAGCACAAGAAATCGCCACGTCAACTGTTTCAACTACAAAATAAAGTGATCGAAAGTTGGTAATTTGGCCAATTTAACACAAAGTTCAAAATATTCCAATTTCAAAATTAGGTCCAGAATAAACAATGTAGGTATTCCTGGAACTAAACTAACATTTCCTCTGTTCATTAGTTACGTTTTGAGGCTTTACAAATAAATTCCATTTTGATTTTTTATTCACATAATGAATGTTTATTCACACCAAAAAATAGAAGATTTACTCTTATGCAATATTGTAATAATTGTATAAATATCATCACCACATTTGTGAATGTATATTAGACCCACCAGCTGGCGTGTATTAGACGTGTGAGGTCGTTTGTTTACTCTTGAACATCGGCAAAAATTTAACATTTCCGCTACTTTGAGCTCAGTTTCAAGCCATTTCCAGTGTTAAAACCAATCAAAATCATCTCTATTTCAGTAATATGTCTTCCATTCTATCAAATGAGACCAAGAAATCGCAAATACAACTATAAAAAACATAAGAAAAAACACTGCAAAGTCGCTGTTTTAATCGAAAATC